TTCTTACCTCCAATCTATCAGAAAGTTCTACCTCTAAATAAACAATGATTTTTGCCTCTCTCTCTCCATTTCCAATGTTACCACGGCAGTCCGGATTGCCACCATTTGTTTGCCTGGATTTCTGACATGGCCTCTTAACTGGTGTCCTGCTCCACTTTGGTTCTCTTCCACACTGTCATCCCCCTCATCCCCCATCCTTGAGAGCTTCCTCTTGTTTTTAAAATACAATCCAAACTCCTGACATTGGCCTGCCAAGCCCCTTATGATCCAGTCACTGCCTACTTCCCCAGCCTTAAAATGATCACTGTGTTTTTGTCACATTGGCCTTTGCTCATCCTAATGAACACTCACTTCATTCGTGCCTCAGGATCTTTTTTTTTTTTGGTAAGCGAGAGAAAAACTTATTAATTGCAGCAAGTAGGGAGAACACCAGGGATCTTTCCCAAAGCAGTGTCTCTCAGGAGCTTTGTGTTTACTTCCCTTCTGCCTAGAATGTTGCCCCAACCATTGCCCCTGGCCCATTCCTCATTCCTTTCATAAAACCTAATTGTTCTTCAGATCCCACCCTAAATATCACCCTCTTGAAGGCTTCCTTGGTCACCCTGTATAGGTAGAAATCCTCTGTTATTTTCTATCATAATACCTATACAGTGCCCTTTCTTGCAGTTTTAAAATTACATATATGTTTCCTTTTGTCTTATTTATTTGCTTGTTAGTTTATTGTCTATACTCACCTCGAGGATGTCAACTTCATGAGGACCAGAGCCCTGTCTTATTCGTTGTTTCCCCAGGACCTAGCCTAGTGCCTCCTACAGAGCAGGTGCTGAATAATTATTGCATGTATGAAAGTGCCCGAAAGTAAAGAACTGGTTGAAACTGGTTTGGTAAAAATTTTGAGATTTAACACCAAAACGTCTTTTTTTAATTGAAGTGTAGTTGATTTACAATGTTTAACACCAAACTTTAAAGTATACTTCAGATAGGTGTTATTTTTTACATGCTTCAGCTTAGAGAACAACCACTGCAATATGAAATAAAATCCCGTCTTCCTCCAAACTTGTTCGTCTGGCTAACTTTATCTTCGTGGGGATTTTCCATTTCCATTTGTGGGTAAAATTTGTCTTAGTCCTCAACTACTAATTTAAGCACAGATAAGCTAGAATTCTGAATCACGGGTCTTTTAGTAAATTGCTGTCCTTATGACCACACCATCATTTGTTAGCAGCGCTCACTCAGGGGCTCACTAAGGTACTCCCTTTGTGGTAGGACAGACAATGAAGATTGGTGGGTAGTTCCTGTCCCAGCTTGTGGAGAGTGGATTTACCCCAGGCAGAGAGGCCTCAGCTGGTCTTGCAAAGAATGCCTTTTATCATTCCATCTGTTTAGCCCCTAGGAGCAGGGTTCCTTGTAGAGTGTAGATCTAACAGATCGGTGGCAACACTGAGGCAATATGTGTTTTTCAGCAAACTAGGGCTCAATTTGTTGCCATAATAACTTTCAGTAATTCCCAAAGAACTAGGGGGAACGTCAAGGTTCCTTTCTTGAAGGAGAAAACTGTTTAGAAAAGAAAAAATGCAGCCTAACCAGGTGTGGGGTGTGACGTCTTCCACCTTCGTTTGAAGTTGTGTTGATGTCTGTGTAGTTAACTAACAAGTTTTTGGCGTTTATTGGCTTATTGTAAATTAGCATTATGTCAGTCACAATGTGTCCAGTATCTCAGTCATCAGGCCCTTTAAGGTAGGAGTCAGCTCCAGTTTACTAAAAGGAATCTGGGGTTTCAGTAGATTGAGAGCTGGGATTTGAACCTAGGTTTGTGTGGCTTAAAAAAAAAAAAAAAGAAAAAAGAAAAAAACCCCGACTCAACAATTATAATAACTATTTCAAAAAATATCCCAAGCTCTTTAAATATGCTTTGTCTACACATTTTATTTTCGCCAAAGTCTTTTTGAGTTTGTTGGACTCAAGCATCTGAGTCTGAAGTTATTTTTACATATAGGTTATATATGTATGCATCGATAAATAAGCAGGTATTTTTGCATATGTTACATTATTTCCCGGTTATATTAGCTATATACATTTAACTTTATCTATATATGGATATAACTTACATAAAAGCAGGGTGGGATGGTACATATGTCCTGGTTTCACTGCTGTGCCACATTCAGAGAAATACAGTCCAGCAATCAGAATTAAAATAATTCTGATATTCACTTGTATCTCTTGAACGACATTGCCAGAACTGGTTTGTACCAAGAGTAGTGCTTGGGAAACCCCTCGCCTCTCCTTTCAGTCCACGGAGCCTCCAAAGCTTCTTTCTATCTCAGCCCACACAATACTCAACCCAAACTTTGCCTTTGCTTCCTCTTCTCCCACCCTCTCCCTTGTCCCAGCTCTCTATTATGTAGAATAATTTAACCCCTTTACTCATTATTTAGATTCTTTACGAGAGAGCCTAGGAGCTGACCCAGAAAGCCAGAAGACATTCTACTTAGAATCCTGAGGGGTGGAGGTGAAGGTGGGGCTGGAGGGAGAAAGACGGTGAAAAGTCAGACATTAGCCATTTCTTACAACAGTTACAAATGAGAAATTTTAGTCCTTGTTAGGGCACCATTTTATTTGTATATATTTATATTATATATATATATATATATATATATATATATATATATATATATATATAGTATTGAAATGCTTGGCTTACTTGTACATCAGTGTATCGTTCGTGGTGCCTTTTTAAAGCATTAAATAATTATATAGTGTTTAACTTTGTGCCAGGTGCTGTTCTGGGTGCTTTATATATATTAACTGATTTAATTTCTACAACAGCCAATAGGTAGCTACTATTTTTCTCCCTATTTTACAAATGAAGAAACCAAGGTACACAGAAGTTAAGTAACTTATACGAGGTCTTATACCTTATAAGGTAACTTATAAGAAGTAAAATAAAATGAAATTGAACCCTGCAGTCTGGCTTCAGAATTTATCCTTTAAGACAATTGCCAAAACTACCTCTCATGAAATAATAAAGTTTACTGAAAGTTTTCAACACTTACTTTAAAAAATAACTTGGGGGTTGATAGACCATAAGATACTGTCTACATTTTCTCCCTGTTCTGAGTCTTTTTCTTGCTCTGAATGGTCGGTATTGTAGTTGGACTACAATACCAGGTATTGTGTTGACCAGGTCTGGAACCTTTCTGGTGTGTGAAAAATCTTTGAGGTAACGGGATTTGGAAGACATTAATTTTCTTTTCTACTTTCTCAGAATGAATTATCACTTCCCTTACAATGGGTAGGCAGTTGCTGTTTCTGACACAGAATAGGAATGCATTGAATTTACAAAACACGAAGCTGCAAACAAGAAAACCCACAAGTGGAAGAACAAGATTGGGCAAGGGAGTATGGGAGCGATAAATAGTCTGTCTCTTGTCTGTGCATGAGGTGCATGCAGCCTGTGGGCTTCCTTGCCATTGCTTGTGTGCCTTTTTTTTTTGTTTTGGTCTATCACTTCCCATTAGTCAAGATCAGGATTAGCTGTCCCTGAGACTGTGAAGCTACATACTTCTTTAGCCCTTTATTCTTCTTCTGCTACTCACTGCGCTTGCCACTTACTGGATTCACTTAAGGAGTGACCAAGGATGGCAAATATTTGGAGCCTGTTCTGCTTCAATTCCTGCCTCCTGAGCCCAAGGAAGATATCACTAATTGAATATGAAGTATTTTTGAACCTGGATTTTGCTTCGGAATCCTTCTCAACAGTGCCCTTAGGGTGTCCTGGTTAAAGTGCAGGCTCTAAAGTGGTACAGACCACTCTTCAAAACCCACTAGCTTCACTGTGTATTCACTGATTGACTTTGGGCAAATTATTTCTCTCTCTCTGCCTGTCATCCTCTGTAAAATGGCTATATCTCATAGGGTTGTTGTGAGGATTAAGTGAGATGACGCATATAAAGTGCTGAGTATAGCGCCTGGCAGATACCTATAGTGGCTACCAAGTGACATCACAGAAAATTGCGGAGTCAGGAGTGCCAAGAATTGGTCCCTCCACTGAAGCAGCCATTAAACTGGCAAAATCTGTCAGGGTCAACTTGTTCCGAACTCTAGACTCTAATAAAAAAAAAAAAAAAAAACTTGTAGTTGTTAGGGGAATGCTAATGAGGAAAGAGGCTGCTAAATTTTGACATACATGAAAATCTGTCAGGTCACTGGCTGACCACTGAGAGAACAGAAGAGAGACTTCAGTGACCACTTTCAATGAGGAACGCAGTCGTTGCAAAACTAGTTTAGAAAAGTTACTAGACAAATGGATGATTGCAGCCCTCAACAAGCAACAACAGCATACCCTGATGAGAAGGGAGAATATGATTTCCAGAGTCACCATTATAATATTGAAAATGTTAAGTTTTCAACAAAAATTAGACATACAAAATAGGAAAGTATGGCCTATTCACAGGGAGAAAGAAGAAATTGACAGAAACTGTCCCTGAGGAAGGCCAGCTGCAAGTTGGCATCCAGTCACTGAATGTTGGCATACTGGAATTTAGCATAACTATTAAAAGAAAACGCAGTTGCTTATTACGGGAAATACCATACTTACTTTTGGTTTATATTGTATTATGTATTATGTATTGTATTATGCATATTGTATTATGAGTATTATAAATATTTTGCCCATTTCTCTTAGTGGAAGTTACCATTACGGGAAAAATGACCAGTTTGCACCTGAGAAAAATTAAAATTGAGAAAATTTTACTTTTATATCTGGCCTTAAAATATACACACTCTCACCATCCCACTGATTTAAAAAAAAATTTTTATTGGAGTATAGTTGATTTACAATGTTATGTTAGTTTCAGGTGTACGGCAAAGTGAATCAGTTTTACATATACATATATCCACTCTTTTTTAGATTCTTTTCCCATATAGGCCATTACAGAGCATTGAGTAGTGTTCCCTGTGCTATACAGTAGGTCCTTATTAGTTACCTATTTTATATCCATTGATTTTTAAATGCTCACATAAATGAATAAAATTAGATGACATTTTCTGTATTTTAAGTTAATCACTCATTAAAGACATATTTGAATTTAACACATTCATTATTCTTGCTTGAAGCATAGCGTATTTGGTATGACAGAAAATAATGCCTTTATACCATAATCTTTCCCTATCCTTGGCTACTCAGACATGGTACATTCTTATTTTCTCTCCCTTCAAATACTACTGGCGTTGCATCTAAACAAAAGTTTAGACTGACTGCGGAATTGGCTGTCAACATGTTAAATTAAGAGCCAGAATTCCAAGTTACACCCAGACCAGGTTACAAAAAGCCTAATTTGTGTCCTGAGAGATCCAGTTGAACAGCAGTGAGCAGACTGGCTACCCTCCACTAAGTGACCCTCAGGTCTCCGTTTGGGTCTGAAGCAGTGGCAGTAGAGTTGTACCCTGAGAACGCAGAGTCTTCATTCACAGAGGTCAGAGCCCTGTCTTGGGACTGAACATAGAAGGATGCAGTGGAGGCAGAAGCAATTGTTCCCCCAGCTTCCTTCTAGAAGAGGAGTTTGCTGGTGAGAAAGACGAGCAGGATCTGAATGGCATCTCTCATGGGGCTGAGGAAGGCTCTGTTGGCCAAGCTTTTGGCTGTGGTTTGGGTTGTGGTTAATTTATGGGTTGTGGTTATTTTGTGGATTGTGGTTAGTTTGTGGGTCGGGGTTGTGGTTAGTTTGTGGGTCAGGGTTGTGGTTAGTTTGTGGGTCGGGGTTGTGGCTAGTTTGTGAGTCAGGGTTGTGGTTAGTTTGTGGGTCGGGGTTGTGGCTAGTTTGTGGGTCGGGGTTGTGGTTGGTTTGTGGGTCGGGGTTGTGGCTGGTTTGTGGGTCGGGGTTGTGGCTAGTTTGTGGGTCGGGGTTGTGTTTAGTTTGTGGATCGAGCTTGTGTTTAGTTTGTGGGTTGGGGTTGTGGTTAGCTTGTGGGTTGGGATTGGGGTTGTGGCTGTGGTTGGCTTGATTGTGGAGATCTTGGTGGTCAAGTCTGAGGTTGTCCCTGGAAAAAAAAATGGCATCAGGATCTCTTTTGGGTGGCGAGTAGGCACTAGAGAAACGAGGCTAATGTGATGGAATGCTGGAGCCAGAGTTCATGGGCAGAATTCAGTGAACACTTCACAAGGGCCAAGTGTATTTAGAGGAGGGGAAATTAGGGGTACAGAATGTTAACAAAAAATAAGAAACACTCTGACCTTAAGACCTATGGAAGAAGGAATTTATACTGAACTTACATAACTATTGAATTTGCTGTTGGGAAGGTAGTCTGCCTTCAGATGTCCTCATGTCCTTAATATTATATTTGCTCAATCAGTGCAAATATGATCCAGAGTGGTACAATTTTATTTTATTATTTTTGCTAATTTCAAAGTTTCCATGTAAAGGTTATAAGAACTAGACACCATCCAGACTTGAGGATGGCTGACTCGGCTTTAAAGGAAGTGGAAGGAGGCCCTGTCCAAATGCTTGAATCCCTTTTTGTGGTGTCTGAGGCATTGGTCATTTTCACAGGCATTGATCTGACCACACGTTGGTTCTCTGAGGTTGCTTTGCAGAGAAGCAGAGAAAGCCAGGCCTACACCCCTGGGTGGTTGTCTGATCCTGAAAAACTGGAGCTTGGCAATGATACTTCCAAGGATCTGAGTGAACCACAGAGGGGACTATAAGGACGAAGAAGGGAAATGCAAAGCAGTTTGCACAGACCTGTACATTCTGCCCACTTGCAGGGTGCCTTCCAGCTCTGTGGCATTGTCTTATCTCATTTAGCATTTCCTCAGGGCAAATGTTTCTCTAGGACACCACTGAGCCCAAAGTCTGAACAGAACCGCTTTCTTCTCCTTTTTTAAAATCTGGATTTTATTAGCATGGAGCTAAGGAGTCCTGACTAGAGACAAACTTTTTTTTTTTTTTTCCTTTCCTAGCATGTATACGAGTGTTCATTTCAAAAATGTCCTGGAGAAAGAAAATAACATCCCAAACTTTTCACAGAGGGGAAACCACCAAGGAAACAGTTAAGGCTTTCATATAATAGTTTCATTAGGCATAATCACTTTAATATTGGTTGTTGAAGATAGATATGCCTTTGATCACATTTGCAATGCTTGACTGACCCGAAAATGGGCAGCGTACTAGATGCATTTCAGTGTTTGGGGGCTCACGAGGAAGACCTGTTATCTGGACACTGAGAAAGACTAATATTACTTGTTCTTGGTTGAAGCTTGTATTTAAAAACTTCATTTAAAAAAAAAGATTGTCTTTCTAGTTTTAAAGTAAGTTTAAGAAAAGTCGAGAAAAGTATAAGATGTGGAATTTGAGTCCTCGTTTTGCCATTTACTTTCTGTGTGGCCTTGGGCAAATTACCTATCTTTTCTGAACCTCAGTTTCTTGAATTTGATTTTGCTTGCGAGAGAGAGATAAGAGAGAAGGAAGGGTGCAGAGAAGGGAGAAGGGCAGGGAGCCTCAGAATGGTTTGACGTTGAGGACTACAGCCTGGGAAAGGCCAGTGGAAATTCCTGGTGGTTGTGCTGGAGGCCAGAGGCCACTCTGAGAACTAATGAAATTATTGGTTTTCTATGCTATCAACCCTGCTTTGTGCAAATCTCCCTTCTCATCCCTTAAACCCTTCGGTAAAGTCTGCTATACCAATGAAGGCTCTGTGTGAGGTGGTATTCTTGTGAAAATTGAGGAAGGAACCAACTTCCATATCCATGTCTCTGTGGTGTTGAATGGAAACAGCTCTTAAGGAAGCCGGCGTCTGGAGCCACAAGTGACCATGAGAATCGAAGGCCCCTTGGAATTGGCTTTTGTTTTCCACAGGGCACAGGATAAGGGGTTGAGCTAATCTTATGTAGACCTCAGGGTGCTGGGAGACTCAACTGGTACCTGGGTAACGCATGATTAGAAGACTTTTTTCTGGGCACCCACAAGATAATTTTCTGGGCCAATGGATTTCACTGCCAGATATGTAAATAGACTGCAGAGGAACTTACCATTTCTTCTCAGTATCTTAAAAGAAACTCTAGCCACGTTGTGCAAATCGACTGTGAAGACTCTGTGGAGGGAAAATTGATGAGAGATAATGGTGGGGAATTCACAAGCTCAGCTCACATTACTGCCTTCCCAGGGGATCCCAACTTCTTAGTTTCTTTTGTGCTTAAATTCTTTACAGCACAAGTAGCAGATCATTCAGTACTGGTCTGCTGTATACTGTCTTGACCAAGATCTTCCACAGTTTTGCTCCAGACAAGATCATGTCCATCCCTCTCCCCCACCAACACCAGCACCCTGGATTCCCCACAGGCTGGTATACACGGCTGGTCTTTGTTCAGGCTAGTCTTTCTGCTTGTAATACCAGTCCCGGGCACATCTGCCCACAGACTCGACAGTAGCCTCTATGAAATTGTTTCTCCTGGTTGTCATGGACCCAGACAGAGCTCCATCAGAGAGACATGCATGCCCCTCTACTACACTGCCTTGCTGTGAGCCTCTCCCCCGACTGGAGGGCCAGCTCTTCGAGGGCAAGTTCTTTTGTCAACAACGCCTGACATGTAGCGTCATAGGTGCTTAATGTTCATTAAATGACCTGTACAGCTTGGTCTGTTGTTCTGATATCATTGGGTCCATTATTATATCAGTCTCTTGTTCATACATTGAACAATTAATGAGAGTGAAGTACATGCCAGTCACTGTGCTTACTGCTGAGGGAACAGTGGTGAACACAGCAGGCGTGGTTCTTACCCTGGAGACTTTAACCGAATAGTCAACTGACAAGTAAGTGATTGCAACGAAGCAGTGGCAGTGATGAGAGTGAGTAAACAGGGAGCGGAACTTGATCTGGGGGTTCAGGAAGTGCTTTCTGAGGAAGTGCTGTGTAACCTCAATAATTATTTCTGTACAGGCCCTGCCTCCCAACCCACACTGTAAAGTTCGGTGGGCAGGAACCTCTTCATGTTGCCTTTTGTGCGCTACTCAGCGTAGTGGGCTTCCCCCATCATATGTGCTGCTCCCCTCCCCTTGTCAGCCTCGCTGATCAAGGCTGCGTGTGTACATCGTAAACAAGCAGAGAGGCCAGTGCATCACAGCAGGTGCGAGTGAAGAGGGGTCTGGAGACCGCACTGTTGGTGAGAATGTGCTGTTTCCATTGAAGATTGTCACCACCATTTGGTGTTTTATCTGTTGTTGCATGGAGTGTGGAGACCTTAAGGAGGTGAGATGAAAGGAAAACCATTGCCTCATTAGCCCTGGCCGGCTTCTAAGGAGCTGCTGTCATCGTGAGGCTGGGTTGTAGCACCTCCCTTTGGATTTTAGTCTTGCAGGTCGCTCTGTGGGCATAATAGCACCTCCTCCAGAGCCAGCTAGGTCCGACCAAGCCTGGGCATGGCTGGAGAGGCTGGAGTGACTTGGCAGCATCACCATCACCGCTGTCTACAGAGACTTAGTGGCAGTTCATAGTGGACATGGCCTGATGGTCAGACCTGCCCTTTCAGTACAAAATGGCAGTCTGAAAGTGTAAGGACCTCTCAACATTTGGTTCTTAAAGTGAACTTGAAAATAAATCCCTAGCTGGGAGGGAAGTTTTTTGTTAGAGTCCCCAGGTGGCCTCACCTCAGAATCTGAGTGTGTCCATTTTGTGCAACAGGAGGAAGCCGGTTTTACTGTACAATCATCACACTTTCTGCCAGCAAGCCATTTCCAAAATGAATCTATGTTTTAAAAAATGATTCTCTGTGTCATGGTGAAACCGAGTCTCCCTAAAACTGAGATCCCCTGCTGAGTTTATGATTAACCACTCTCAAAAACTTTATTCTCTTTCTTGTCCCACTCCCCACCCCCATTCCCCTTAGGATTGAAGAGTATCAAAGAAACGGGGGGACTGAAACCAAGCAGGACCCTGGGGGGCCGCCCTAGTACAAAAGCCACTCCGTGTCCCCCCATTTCTTGTTTGTAGAAAAAGGCTTTAGTCTCCTAGACCCTCCTCGAGTTCCAAAGAGCAGACTTAAGCAGTTACTAATTAGGGAAGTGAGGGAATGCAGAAACCAAGGAAAGCAGTCAAGAAATAATACTTCAGTGATAAAACAGAGTCCTAGTTCTCCTCAAGGGATACATATAACAATCTGACACATATCTTTGAGTTGTTCTGCAGAAACTAAGACCCCTGCCCAAGTGGAGGATGGTGACTACATGGTGACCACAAGCACGTAGACCCCAGACTGATTGGAATCAGAAGGTTGATGATTCAGACTCCTGAAGCATCACCCTGTTACCTCACCACCACCAACCAATCAGAAGAAAGTCATGCCCCCTGAAAACTTCACCCCAAATGTGGCCTTTAAAAGACCTTCCCTGAAAGCCATTGGGGAGGCCGGGTCTTCTGAGCATGAGCCACCTGTTCTCCTTGCTTGGTGCCTGCAATAAACGCTGCACTTTCCTTCACCACAACCCGGAGTCAGTAAATTGTCTCTGCTGTTTGGCAGGCGAGTGGACCCAAGTTCAGTTTGGTAACAATGGGGACTGAGTACCCCTCCTCCAGGCTCTTGGCTACTGGCAGCTTCTCTGCACCCCCAGTTTAGCAAGGCCTCCTGGAGGACTGCCCTGGGGGTTGGCAGAGAGGGGAACGCTCAGGTGGCCAGATGGTTTCAAGAGGAGTGTCTTTATTTTTAACTGTTTGCTGCTGCTGCCCCCAACCCTGCCTGGCTCTGGAGTACTGTCTGCCCCAGACTAATAGGAATGAATTGGGTGGGAGTAGGAGGGAATATAGAGAATTTGAAGCAAACTGGGTGCCAGTGACAAGGATTCTTTGCTTGACCAAACTTTAGTCAGGCTCTGGAACCTTCTCCTAGGCCCATCTGTGTACTTCCTTATAAAATCCAGTTTTAGCCAGAATCCTCATAAGTCGGTTTAGCAAGAACCTTCCACCCTTGATATCTGATCACCTTTATTATCTGATTGAATTCCTCATCCTCTACTATCCCCCAGGTGATATCGGATCAGCCTTGGCCTCCCTTAAGCAAGAATCCTGTTAGGTCAGTTTGGCCAGAGCCCCCCTTACAGGTCTTGATGTTTCCTCTTAGTGATTTTCCATCCACTGAGCCCTCACCCTGTTCCTGGGCTGTAAATTCCCACTTGCCCATGTTGTATTCAGAGTTGAGACTTGTTCCATATGGAGGTCTCTTTTCTCTTATTGTGATAGTCCTGAATACAATCTGTTTTTGTTCATTCATTCATTAGTTTTGCTTTAACTACTATCCAGCTCTGGTTTTCTTTAACACCAATTCTTTCTGTTTATGTTGAGCATACCTGGTGTGTGTGTGTGTGTGTGTGATGTATAAACTTCTACAGATAAAGGTAGGACAAAGAATGGTGAGGCAGAAAAGGAGTACAGCTACTGAATTATCCACATCATATCTGGATTGCATTTTGAGTCCTCTAAAGTCAGTATAAAACTGTACAAACATAATATGAAATTGTAAAAGCCCAAAGCAAATCATATATGGATAGGTTCTTACTGTAGCTCGACTGTAGTTATGTTCATGAAACTAGGAGATACCCATTTTGCCTCGAAGAGCTTGCTGTATTGGCTCTTCATGTGGTACAAGACGCTGCTGCTGCAATACTTGTCAGCTTTTTGCCAGGAGCCAATGAGTGAGTTGTCCTGGTCTATTGCTCGCAGGATCACAGAGGTAATATTTTTATTCACAGGAACTGACACTAGGAGGAAATGAGAAGGAAACAATCAGCCGTCTGTGCAGTAAGACAAGAGATGGGGGTCATGAAATCAAAATTAAGTGTGAAAAAAGAAAGTTACAAGTAGTATGTAAATATAGTGTGGTCCCATTTTTGTGAAATAAGTTGAAAAAAGTCTGGAAGGAAATACATGAAGATATTAACTATGAGGATTTCTTGGTTGTGGGGTTATAGATGGTTTTTATTTTCTTCCTAGTTCTTCTTTGTGTTTTCTAAGTTTTCTACAGGAAAAGGTGAACAAAAGAAGACCTGTACTCTGGCCCTGGTTTTGCTACGTATCAGGGATGAGGTCCTGGCTGACTTTTAACCTCTTGAGCCCTGTTCCTTTCTGCCAGATGAGAGTTCTGCCCTTCTCTCAGGAGGAATGCAGTGTGGGGAGAGAAGGGGTGGATGCATGTGAAAGGGTCAAGCGGACCTCCTGGGAAATGCTTCCAGAAGTAAGGAACTGTTACTGCCAAGTCAAAGCAAAGCCTATTTCCTGGTTCCAGAAATGCTGATGTTCTTGGTCTTTGTTGTTGAGAGTGAGGGAAGGGGGGGCCTCTGAGACCCAGAGGCCCTAATCCAGGTACCTAGTCCAGGTACCTGCCAAAGCCCCAATCCAAGTACCTCTAAGTAAGCACTTAGGGTTCCGTGACCCCCTCCACTCAGGTGAGTCTCACCTGTTGACCTAGCCCAGCGTGTGCCCACAGGGACCCCACTGACACTTGTTAATTCCACCTGTTATTTTCAGCCTTCTGATGTGTAATAGGGAGGGAATTTCAAGAGACTATTTCAGTTTGTCCGTTTCCTCCCTTAGAAGATCCCTTCTGAACAAATTTCTCAATGCTAGGGTCCTCTCAGCCACCCCAACTTATTTTAAAGGCTTCTCCTTTACAAAATAAAGAAAACTGATCTTGCAGCACAATAGGATTAGACAGTCCTGGATCTGAATCCTAGCCCTAACATTTAAGACCAAGTCACTTCACCTCCGATCCTTGGTTTCTTTCCTGTTCATCATTCACTCCACAAATATTTATTGAATGCCCGCTTTGCACTAGGGTTGGTTCTAGGTCTGAGGATAATGACATTATCTCTCATTGTATGGAGATCATGGTACCTTATCTTGAAAGGTTCCTGGGAGACTGAAGAGAAGAATGTAAAGACTTTAATACTGGTGGGTGTTGGATAAGTTGCCATTGTTATTCTTAGCACGAAACATTTCTCTGTTCTGTTTGTTTTTGCCAGTCAATGTTGCTGAGCCAGATCCCCCCGCCCTGAGTTGCTCAGCGAGAACCTGACATTTGTCCTAGATGTGTGTGCATGGTGCTGAGGTGGATGGTGATGAGTGATGGTGTCATCCAGTCATCAAGCCTGTCAGCTCTCCCCTGGGCTTGCCTTTGTCCTTTCTTCTGTTTTCCACCCCACTCTCTGGCTTAAATCTGCATTTCATCCCTCCTAGTTATCTGTATTATCCAGATTCCTGGCCTCCACAGTCCCCTCCCTCAGGCTTCAGACTGATCAGACTTCCACACTCAACACTTCCATCAGGACACACACCTGTCCAAAACCTTCAAAGTGCTCTTCTAGAGCCTCTAAACGTTTCTGGTTTTATATTTCTGCTTCTGTTGCTTGCAGGACCCAGTGCATGGCTCTTATGATCCTCATAAGAAGCACATGACACGTAGTAGGCATTCAGTGAGCCTTAGTTCCTCTTCTCCTTTCTCTCTGCTCTACCCGGTGCCTCTGTAAATGCTGTGTTGTCCCTCTCATCCAGCACGTTCCCTTTCAAGGGGTCTTATGGATCATCTTTTGATTCTTCTTTCTTCTGTCTTCCTACTTTCACATGGCTCCTCTGCCACCCCCACCTCCAACCCCGCACCCCTTGCATCTTCACAAGATAGGTTTCTTTTTTTTCCATTTCAACAGCAAAATTCTTCACCTCGTGATGTGTTACCTTAAGTCAGAGGTATGAGACCTGACCATCCAGGTCCTGCTCTGTATACAAGGTCACACACATGCCCTCCTGGTCCTCATCTTGAAGCACAAGATTACCCTCCCTGCCCTGTTTAGGACAAGATCTGCTGCCTGAGGGAGTGGGACATAGGGAGACCCACCACAGGTGAGGCACTTAGTGACAGTCCCCAAGAAAAAATAGAAAAAAGGACTAGCCAGGATGAGTGTGTGAAGGCAGGCCATAGGCATTCTCCTGCTGAAGCCTGGAATCTGTAGAGCATGGGTATAGATATCACCCTGGTGTTCTCTGCAAAATTTGGTTAGAGTTCTAAGAGAGGCAGGATAACATGGTAGATGAGTCAGGCTCTGAAGCTGGACGGCTTGGCTAGACAAAGCAGGACAAATCTTGGCTATTATTTAGGTTCAAATGTTAGCTGTGCAACCTACTAGTGACCTTGGGTAAAACTTTAACTTTCCTGTGCTTCAGTTCTCATCTGTAAAATGGGGAAGATAATAGCATTTACCCTTAGAACAGTACTCAGCACACAGTATGACGTCTTAGCTCTCATTACCTTAACCAAGAGGCGTATAGTCTAGTGGTTAAGAGCAGGGTCTCTGAAGCTAGAATGCTTGGGTTCATGGCCCAGGTCCATCATTTAAGCAGCTCTGTGACCTGAGCGAGTCACTAGCATCTCTACCTCTGTTTTCTCATTGACACACAGGAAATGACAACAGTATCTACCTAGTAGGTCATTGTGAGGACTAAATACATTAGTACATGTAAACAGCCATATTAAATTTGTTGTTATTATGAAAGTTATTCGAGAGCACTTGCCTTGACTTGTAGGTTTGACTGATCCCAAAAGGGATGTCTGTAAAATATTTCTAGGCACCTCAAAGAAAAGCACTGGATTAGGAATGAAAAGACCAAGATTCAAGAGGCAGTTCTGCCACTTATTAGTTGTGAGACCCTGAGCAAGTCATTTAACTTCTCTCAGCTTCAGGCTCCTCATTTATCAGGTGGGATAGTAATACTTTCCCTGTCTAGCTCACTAGATTTTCCACCCACAGACTAAAAGTGAACAGCGTCTCCTGGAGTTGTGCCGTATACAATCATCCATGGTGGCATTGTTTCATCAAGTGGATGGGAAAAGACTACAAAATGTGGTGCAATTTTTAATCCCTTAAAATAATAAAAATGCCCCCCCAATACAGACTGTTTTAAGTAAAAAAAAAAAAAAAAAAAGCCCAAATTATTTAAGTGAGAGAACTTGCCGCAGTTGTGCTCTTGCTGGGACTCGGTTAACCTGAGTGTTGGGATGTAATGACTCCCATGGCTCAGGTTCACACAGGGGACATGCAGAAATAGGAAATAGTCCCACCCAACCCATCCTCTCACATGTTCTCATTCTCCCTCTTTCTGCCTCTGTGTCCCAGACGGGTCAAAAACACATGTTTTGTTTGTGTCATTGAGAGCAGGGATGGAGGGGTATGTTCTGCAATTCCGGTTTTATCTACCCTCAGAAAACAGAGGACAGCAGAGGGAATGGCTTCTACTTACCTGTGTAGACTGTATTGCTTTTATAGACGTTTGGGTTGGCATGGATTCCTGAGTAAGTGGCGACAATGACCTTATTGAAGAGCATGCAGTTGCCATGGTGACTTATGCAGCTGGCAGAAGAACACAGCAGTCCAAGGCACAGAAACAGCCCCAGTGGCAGCAGCAGGGACCCGAGGATTGCCATGGTCTTGATCTGTTTGGAAACTACTGGGCCTGAAACTGGGTAAGAGCTACAACTCACCTGTTTATATGCTCTGGGGCTGGAACTTCTGGGTGAGGTCATACATGCAAATCTCCTGCCCACTCCTCCCTAAGATGAACGGGCTTCTGGAATTTGGCCCAAGATATCACCAGGAATGAATCTCCTTGTATCTGTCACCACGACCCTTTGCGAATTCCAGTTTTGCTCATGAAGGGGAATGTACTGATCGTGGTTTTATTTTGCCTCTCATTCACCTCAGCATCTGACATTTGAAGCAAGCTGTGAGGAGGGGTTAATACTGGCAAAGTGAAATTCAGAGTTGAGTAATCATCACCTACCTGTCCTGTTTAGGAACTACACTCTTCTCGCTACAGGAAACTCAGGCATTAAAGCACTTTTCTTCATGGTATATTACGTATCCTTTCCAAGTCTCCTTAATCGAACATGTCTCCTGTCCCAGTTCATTTAGCGACTATCATAGAACTAGAAAGACTGTCCTTCTGGATTTGTATTTGTTTCTTTGGAAAGAAACAGCTTTGGTTCACCTTGCTTCTGCCTGACACTTTCCTCTATACTACTGTAGCACAAGGAAACTACTGAAAAAAAATCAGAAAATATGTTTTTTTCATACTTCTTCTCTGATTTTAATTTACTCACTGAAGGAGAAAAGAGGAGAGATGTATTCTGTGTGAGTGGAAAGAAAATGAAAAATGTAGAATTGAATCAAAGAGATATTTATAAATGTTTTTTCAGGAGAAGCACTTACAGAATGGTGGAGTGAGGACCTCTGAAAAACCTACTCCTCCAGAAAAGCAATGAGCAAAAACAGTCTAAATCAACTTTTTCAGAACTCTAGAAATTAAGCAAAGACTTGCAACAATTCAAGGAGCATTTGTTTAAGAAAAATGGCTGAATCTCATTAAACATAGTGAGCATCGAGGCATTTTAACTTGCCCTGTTCCCATCCCTCTTACCCCACCTCTTCAAGTAGCATTAGAAACCAACAGCCTTGCAACTATGATAGCCATGAAGACCAGCAAACTAGCAGCCAATAGGGAGGGGACAGAATGGGCTTGGAGTGCTCCAAAAAGCTTCATTTCCAGAGAATTGTCCCTATATGACCTGTCTGCAAATTGCCTATAAAGCTGAATTCTCAGGGCTTTCAGAACTTTCTCTGCAAACAGCCTTATTGCTAGGGTATTTGTTGAAAATAATCAGTGGGAAGTTTTTAACATTGCAGCTGTCTGAAGCAGTGGTTGCAACTGGGACTAACAAGGAGCTGAGCACAAAATTTAAAAGAAAAAACTGGGACTGAGATGTTGGTTGGGGGCCTTGGAAAGCTCTGACACATTCCTGGGGATCTAAAAGGTCATCTGCATGTACAGAGCTATGCACATGCCCAGAAAAGATCTGAGAAAGCCCTAATCACTTATCTCTGGCTGACCTTGAGGGTCTATACAAGTAAGAAATGTAGGCAAAGGCTGAGTTGTAAACTGCCTATTTGACCAGTGAAGGCGTACACACAGAGAGGAAGTTGGCAAAGATTGAGAGACTTACTGGTTCAAGACATTTAGGAAATCTCTGTCTATTCATTAGCTGACCACTAAGCTAACTAAGCAGAGACTTCAGTGACCACACATAATAAAGAATACTGACTTTGCAGAATGAATTAATTCAGAAAAGCTGCTAAATAAACAGCAGCAGCAGCAGCAACAACAACAAATAATAACTAATGCAAACTACAACAAACCCTGGGAAGGAGGGGAATCTGGTGTGCATAATGGTCAATGGTCACATTATATTTTTTAAATGTTCAATTTTCAAGGGAAAATTATAAGACATACAAAGGAACAAGAAAGTGTGTTCTGTATATAGAAAAAAACTCCCAGCCAATAGAAACTGTCCCTGAGGAAGTCCAAATGTTGGACTTACTAGACAAAAACATTAACTCAGTCATTATAAATATGTTCAAAGAACTAACAAAAGCCATGTTTAAAGAATAAAAGAAAAGTTTAAGAATGATGTCTCAACAAAAAAGAATATTAATAAAGATATAGAAATGGTAAAAAGGACCATACAGAAAATTTGTAGTTGAAAAGTATAACTGAAATGAAAAATTCACTAGAAGGACTTAAGAACAGATTTGAACTGGCAGAAGAAAGTATCAATAAGCTTGAAGATATTCAGTGAAGATACTGAATAAATTTAACAAACGAAGCACAAGACTTGTATACTGAAAACTATAACAAAGAACTCATAATAGCCAAAATGATCTTGAAACAACAACAACAAAGTTGGAGGACTCACATTTACCAGTTTCAAAACTGCAAAGGTACTGTAATCAAGACAGTGTGGAAAGATGGTGGAGTAGAAGGACAATAAGCACACCTCCTCTCATGGGCATACCAAAAGTACAGCTATTTACAGAGCAGCTATTGATGAGAAACACTGGAGTCTACCAGAAAAGATCTTCTATAACTAAAGATATAAAGAAGGAACCACAAGGAGACAAGTAGGAGGTCAGGAGTTATCAAGACCCATATCCCTGAGAAAAAAATGACAATTGCAGAGGTTCTTTACAAGGAGTGAGGAATATAAGCCCCACATCAAGCTCACCGTCCTGGGGGTCTTACACTGGAAAAACAACCCCCCAGAATGTTTGGCTTTGAAGGCCAGCAGAGACCCACAGGGTTGGGGGAAATAGAGACTCTTCTCTTAAAGGGTGCACACAAAATTTCACATGCTCCAGGACCCAGGGCAGAATTTGAAAGGGACCTGGGTCAGACCCACCTGCTGATCTTGGAGAGTCTCCTGGAGAAGCAAGAGGCAATTGGGGCTCACCCTGGGAACATAGACACTGGCGGCAGCCATTTCTGGGAGCTCATTCTACCACAAAGACACTGGTGCTGGCAAGTACCATTTTGGGATCCTCCCTCTAGCTAATTAATGCCAGGACCTTGCCCTACCCACCAGGCTTTTGGCACCAATACTGGGACACCTCAGGCCAAGCAACTACCTGTGGGGGCCACAGTCCCACCTACCAGCAGGCAGGCTACCTTAATACCCCCAGAGCCCACAGCCACCCCGGTCAAGGCCCTGTCCACTAGAAGGCCCAGGACCTGGCCCCACACACTAGTGCACATGCACTAGACCTGGAATGCCCAGGGCCCTGCAGCCAGAGGTCCCAGGGCCCAAGACAGGATCCAAATCAATAAAATCAGAAATGAAAAAGGAGAAGTTACAACCAACATCACAGAAATATAAAGGAGATTAAAGAGACTACTACAGATAACTATATATTAATAAAAATGGACTACCTAGAAGAAATGGACAAATCCCTAGAAATGTACAATCTCCCAAGCCTGAACCAAGATGAAATAAAAAATATGAACAGACCACTTACAGATAGTGATATGGAATCAGTAATAAAGAAAAACTCCCAACAAACAAAAGTCCAGGACCAGATTCCTTCACAGGTGAATATTACCAAACATTTAGAGAAGACTTAATGCTTATCCTTCTTAAACTATTCCAAAAAATTGCAGAGGAACTTCACTGAACTCATTCTACAAGGCCAGCATCACCCTGATACTGAAACCTGACAAAGATATCACCAAAAAAGAAAATAATAGGCAAGTATTGTGGATGAACATAGATGCAAAAATCCTCAACAAAATATTAGGAAATCAAATCCAACAATACATTAAAAGGATCATACACCATGGCCAAGTGGGATTTATCCCAGGGATGCAAGGATGGTTCAATATCTGCAAATCAGTCAACGTAATACACCATATTAAAAAGCTGAAGAATCAAAATTATATAATCACCTCAATAGATACAGAAAAAACTTTGACAAACTTCAACATCTATTTATGATAAAATCTCTCCAGAAAGTGGGCATAGAGAGAACATATCTCAATATAATAAAGGCCTATATGACAAACCCACAGCTAACATCATGCTCAATGGTGAAAAGCTGAAAGCATTTCCTCTAAGATCAGGAACAAGTCAGGGATGCCCACTCTTGTCACTTTTATTCAACATAGTTGTGGAAGTCCTAGCCACAGCAATCAGAGAAGAAAAAGAAATAATCCAAATTGGAAAGGAAGAAGTAAAACTCACTGTTTGCTGATGACATCATACTATACATAGAAAACACTAAAGGCACCACCAAAAAACTGCTAGAGCTCATCAATGAATTTGGTAAAGTTGCAGGATACAAAATTAATATACAGAAGTCTGTTGCATTTCTATACACTAACAGTGAACTATCAGAGAAAATTTAAGAAAGCAATCCCATTCACAATAGCATCAAAAAGAATAAAATACCTGCAAATAAAATAGCTAAGGAGGTAAAAGACCTGTACTCAGAAAGCTATAAGATACTGATGAAAGAAACTGAAGACAACACAAACAGATGGAAAGATTTACCATGTTCAGGGACTGGAAGAATGAATATTGTTAGAATGACCATACTACCTAAGGCAATTTACAGACTCAGTGGCATCCCTATTAAAATACCACTGATGTTTATCAAAGAACAAGAAAAAATAATTCTAAAATTTGTATGGAAACACAAAAGACCCCAGATAGTCAAAATTATCTCAAAGAAAAACAGAGCTGGCAGCACCATGCTCCCAGCCTTCAGACTGCAGTACAATGCTACAGTAAGCAAAACAGTATGATACTAGCCCAAAATCAGACACATAGATCAATGGAACAGAATAGAGAGCCAAGAAGTAAACACCGACACTTTTGGTCAATTAATCTGACAAAGTAGGCAAGAATATACGATAGGAAAAGACAGTCTCTTCAATAAATGGTGCTGGGAAAACTGAACAGCTACATGTAAAAGAATGAAACTAGAATATTTTCTCACGCTATATACAAAAGTAAACTCAAAATGGATTAAAGACCTCAATGTAAACCTGGAAACCATAAAACTCTTGGAAGAAATCATAGGCAAACCCTCTTTGATGTAAATTGTAGCAATATTTTTTGGATGTCTCTTAAGGACGAAGGAAACAAAACCAAAATAACCATATGGGACCTAATTAAACTTAAAAGCTTTTGCACAGCAAGGGAAACCCTTGACAAAAGAAAAAAACAAGCTACTGAGTGGGAGAAAATATTTGCAAATGATATGACTAATATCCTTATCCAAAATATATAATATCCAAAACATCCAAATCCAAAACATATAAACAGCTCATATAACTCAACATCAAAGAAACCAACAATGCAACTAAAAAATGGGCAGAGGACCTGCATGGACATTTTCCTAAAGAAGACATACAGATGGCTAACAGGCACACAAAAAGATGCTCAGCATTGCTAATCATCAGAGAAATGCAAACCAAAACCACAATGAGATATCACCTCACACCTGTCAGAATGGCTATCATCAAAAAGACCACAAATAACAAATGTTGGTGAGGATGTGGAGAAAAGGGGACCCTAGTACACTGTTGGGGGGAATGTAAATTGGTGCAGCCACTATGGAAAATGGTATGGAGATTTCTCAAAAAACTGAAAATAGAATCTATCATATGATCCAGAAATCCAAACAAGATGAAAACATTAATTTGAAAAGATACATGCACCCCAGTGTTCATACTAGCATTATTTACAATTGCCAAGATATGGAAGCAACCTAAGTGTCCATCAACAGATGATTGGATAAAGAATCTGTTATATATATATATATATTTATATTTATATTTATATTCTATTGTGTGTATGTGCATCTATCTATCTACTATTACATATATATATGTAATAGAATAGAGTATTACTCAGCCATAAAAAGGGACGAAATTTTGCCATTTGCAACAATGTGGATAGACCTGAAGGTTATTATGCTTAGTGAAATAAATCATATGGAAAAATACATACAGAGTATGTTATCACTTATATATGGAATCTGAAATATAAAACAAATGAATGAATTTAACAAAACAGAAAAAGACTTATAGATTTAGAGAACAAACTAGTAGTTATCAGTGAGGAGAGGGAAGAGGGAGGGGCAAGATAGAGGTAGGGGATTAAGAGGTACAAAGTACCATGTATAAAATAAGTAAGCTGCAAGGATATATTGTACAACACAGGGAATGTAGCCAATATTTTATAATAACTTTAAATGGAATATAGTCTATAAAAATTGTGGATCACTGTGTTGTATACCTGAAACTAATGTAATATTGTAAATCAACTATACCTTAATTAAAAAAAGACAAATGTGGTACTGGCATAAGAATAGACATATAGATCAATGAAACAGAGTTGCAAGTCCAGAAATAAACACATACATTTATGATCAACTGATTTTTTTGGTCATTTAAGATAAATTCTATTACATGAAGATTAAACTTCTGTTATGAGGAGATTCATACAAGATTAAATGCCTTTTCCCAATGAATCTGAGTAAATGAATTTTACTGAATGTATCTTCTAGAGTGCTTTTGCTGCAGGTTGCTTCAAAAAAGAGTGAAATCATTTTGAATGTTAGAATTAAAACAATTTGCTAATTTATTGGTCCTATGACTCCTTTTATGTAATTAAGAATTCTTATGAAATAATATATTTATGTGCTTGGAAACACTCTCAAACTCCATTTTGTCTTGAACCTTATAACCTCTTCTACCCATCACACATTCTTTTTTTAAAAACTATTTTTAAAAATTGATGTATAGTTGACTTACAGTGTTACACTGGTTTCAAGTGTACAACATAGTGATTTGATATTTTTATACATTACAAAATGATCACCACATGGTTAACTGATTTTTGACAAGGGTGCAGGACAATTTGATGGGGGGAAACTAGTCTTTTCAACAAATGGTGCTGAGAAAACTGGGTATTCATATGCAAAAGAGTG